TGGTTTGAAGCCACCAGCAGCTCTGTAAGAGAAAAGATCTGGTGATGTACTCGCATAAAGATTACAGCCTAGGAAACCCTGTGGGGCAGTTCTACTCTGTCCTATAGGGTTGCTATGATTTGGAATCAACTCGATGGCACACAACAACAGCACATAGCAGACACTCAATAAATATGTGCTAAATGAGTATTCTTGAAACCATCCCCCATTTACCACTGAGAACTCAAGCCCACTACCTATCCACCATAGGCAGAACTTCTCAATTGTAAAATTTCTCTTTTGATTGATAGCTGAATTTTCTCTCTTATATCCCTGGTTGAAAAGAATTCCTATATTCTAAAAGATCCAGTAGCTCTTTCCACTGTGGTTCATGGAGCTAGTTTGACTTCCTTCTTCTATAGTGAGGTTGCACATGCTTTGTCTCTGTGTGCCCAAATCTCCAAATGTGCTTCAAGTCCCAAGGGACTGACTGTTCCCAAGAGCTTGAGCACTGCAAGTTCTTTAAAAAAAAAGTCCTCCATTTTTTAAAAAATATATAATTGCTGCATCTCCCGAGATATTTTTACATTGTGTCCCTAGAGGAGGAATTCCAGCTGATGGCCCAGTGCAGGGCAGAGGCTCACAGACAGTCTGGCTCCAATTTATGCTCTGTGCTAACGCAGTTAATAGGCGTCAGTATCTTGATATACAAAAGCACAACTTGATTTTGACGTGGTTAATCACTGGTAATATCTGGCTTAGAATCACACATTTCAGGGTCAAGACCTTTTCATTTTCTTCTTCCTCCTTTCATTCTTTTTCTCTGTATTCAACAAATTGTCTTGGGAAAAGTTTCAGTATTGGAATAGAGCAGTACACAGAATAAATTGGCAGTAGTTCAGTTTGACCCATATTAAATTCTGTTGTAGACACTGTGAACCTATTGGAACCATTATATATGTATAATACGTATCAGAGCTTCCACAAAATCCTGTTAATGCCTTTTCTTCTATACCAGTTTTTTCTTCTATACAGGTTTTCCCTACCACTTCATTTTAGACCCTAAACTCAACACTCACTACAGTTAAATGGAAATGAGGCAGTAACTCTTGATTCATAATGTACTCCATACTTCTACAAATATCTAATGAAAATGAGTGAACCTGTCTGTATAAAATTTGGACACAGTCCAGAAGTATGTTTCACTCTCAAATGGCTGATAAAACAGTAGAATGGCTGGCATGGCAACCCCTTCCCAGGAGTCTGGCAAGACAGAGGGTATCCAATATTACAGAGATGTTGCTTAGGCTGCACCCCCAAATGTCAGGTGCTTTGCCATCTTTCTTGGATTCTTAAATCTCTGGGTCCTTTACCTGAAAAAGTGTAGTACTATAAACTGCTTACTTAGAATAAGCTGTCCCAATGATTTAGTAAGATGGACCAAAAAAAAAAAAAAAAATTAGATATTTGAAGGTCAGCCCTCACCAGACATTCTCTTAGAAACAAGCTCACCACCTCTTACAGGCATGGTTTTCCTTGGCCTGTGACATGACCAACCCAAGCCCATCTGTGTCAAGCCTCTGGCATGGCTGATGAAACACCACCCTTTCAACAGGCTTTGCTCTCTGGAAACCTTCACAAAATACAGCTAGTTCACGCTCCGGCAAACCTCAAACTTAAGCTTTCCCAGTTAACAAATGATATTTTGCCAAAAGGCTTACTAAATCCTGGCTCTAGTAGAGGGTGTGATGTGGAATCGCCACAGCTTGAAAAACAAATGAGCAGCCCTCCCAGTGCCATGGGGTTACATTCCAATGGAGTGCTCAAATACAGTTTTCATCATGCCATATGCTATGCTTGCTTGCTAGAGCATTCTTGTTTTGTTTGTTTTTTAAATTATGTTTGTTTGCATGCTTATCCGATGCACAAAATGCATTCTTCATGGATTTTCCTGTCACTGTTTGGGTAGCATAGAGAGTTACGTACTACAGAAGCGTGGAATCAATAAAAGTAGCAATCAAAGATGAACAGTATGTTTTCTCCCATATCCATAAATCTATTCTGTAAATGCAAATAATGTGGAGAATGAAAATAAGAAATTCTATAACTTTAAAAGAAAAATTGGCCAGTCATAGGATAAGAGCATAGCCAACCTACTCTCAAGAAGGAAAACCTTTTAAATAAGATATTTCTGAACCCCTGTCTGAAATGTATATCTTTAGGGCAGTAATCATCAGTAACATAATGGAGTAGTGTGGAGCTCAGTTTTATTGTCTTGCATCAGTGAACATTCCTCAAAAGCATAGAGCGTCACTAATGGAATTATATGTTTTCATGCTATAATTACATTTGATTTTTCCTGATATTTCTGTAGACTTTTTGTTCACGGTTCCATGACTAGACAGAATATGTACAAGTTTTCTTATGTTCTCTGTCTGTTCAATTCCCCCATCCCCCAAAAAGAGACTAGCAATAGGAATTTTTAACAGAAAAAAGGGAAGAATGTATACTTTTAAAAATTGTATTCAACCTTCAGAAATTGTATTTCAACAACAACAAAAGAAATAAGCAAAAAAGAGATGGATTTTATACTTGAAGGAAATAGCAAGGGAGCTCTGTGAGGTCCAAAACTCTTTGAGACACAAAATAGGCTCTTCAGTATTTTTGTTCTTGGTCTTGAATAAATATATGTTGGATGAAATGGAATTTATTTGACCTTTGGGTATGTTGCCTCAAGTGGTCCAGCCACCGAGAGACAGATGAATCCTAGCAGTAGAGTAATGCTGATCAGAGGACACGATACCAGGATGCCATCAAGTATGGGACAATGAGCATCCCTTTTTGAGAAGTGAGAATGTCCAGCTATGAAATCCACAGAAATCTCTAGTGAAGAAATGTAAACAATTAGAAAATTTTGTTGAAGTCCACCTTATTGTTGTTATCTTACACATCTTTCCCCACGTCAAGTATTTGTTTCATTAACACACTTCAAGAACATCTTTCTTCCTTAGCACCCAATTCCTCTTCTCTAGGCTTTAATAGTTGCAGTATGTGTGACTTACACTTACTTCAAATATGTTTACACTCTAGGGCTTCCCTCTTGAAGCATTATGGTAGGAAGTATAGGAGTAAATTGGTTTTTGCAGTGTAGTTATAGAATGAAGACAGGCTTTTATTAGCAAATGGAATCAGTTCGAGGGTATAGATGAACACCTCTTGGCTTTACCTCGATTTCATGTACTTATCATAACTTGTAATAAAGTTAATATTATATTTCCCCAAGTTTAAATATGTTCTTGAAATGCCTTTTTTTTAGAATGTTGAAAACACAATTTCGGTTCTCTCTCCTCAGATCCCTACAGTCTGGCTCCTGGCCCAGCCACTCAACCCAAATCACCCTCTAAGGTCCTCCAAAATAACTTCTCAGCCAAAACCAACAGTATTTTTCTAGACTTGTCAGCTATATTCAAAACCACATTCTTCTCCTCTCTAATACCCGTTCTGGTGTCAAATTCTGAGGATTTGTTCCTTCCAGTTTTCCATTTTCCTTATCTCCAAACTCACACCTCTAGTGGTTCTCCTTTAGGGATCATTCCAACTTTCGTAATTGCAAGCACAATGTTTGCGTGAATTACTCCCCCGTCTTTAGCTCTAAATGTTCTTTTAGTTTTTAGTTTTTTTTAGCTCTTTTAGATGTTCAACTGCAGTTAAACCTGGCAAAGTAACAAATCTGGTCTTGACTCTCAACTCCTTGCTTTCTCTAATATCTTGGTTTCTATAAATAAAAATTGAGTCATTTTGACTCTTAATCCCTTAACTTTCATTAAACTTCTAAAAATATATATTTTTCCTCCTAGATTGTTTTTGTTGTCAGGTGCCATTGAGTTGGTTCACACTCATAATGAACCTGTCTACAACAGAATGAAACACTGCCTGGTCCTGCACTCTCCTCACAATCATTGCTGCGTTTGAGCCCATTGTTGCAGCCACTGTGTCAATCCATCTCCTTGACAGTCTTCCTCTTTTTCACTGACCCTCTACTTTACCAAGGATGATGTCCTCCTCCAGGGACTGGTCCTTCCTGATAACATATCCAAAGTATGTGAGACAAAGTCTTGTCATGATTGCTTCTAAGGAGCATTCTGGCTGTACTTCTTTCAAGACAGATTTGTTCATTCTTCTTGCTGTCCGTGGTATATTCAGTATTCTTCACCAATGCCATAATTTAAATGCACCAATTCGTCTTAGATTGTAATTCTTAAGTTGTACTTCTTCCAAGACAGACTTGTTCATTCTTCTGGCAGTCCATGGTATATTCAGTATTCACCAACAATATAATTCAAATGCGTCAGTTCTTCCTAGATTACATTTATTGAATTAATGATTTTTTAGTTATCCTCCATTCTCCCTTCTTCAATTCTTAGTCATATGCAGGTTAGACCAAACTATACACATATTCAAAAGGAGATTCCTATTGCCTTGTTGATAAAAACGCAATTAATAGTGAATTGGTGGCTTCATACTCTACCATCTCTTCATAGCCCACCTCAAGATAATATTCTCTACAAACATGCAGTTTACCTACTTTTCTCCACTTCCTACCTCTGATTATTTGTCCTCATTCTTAAAAGGACATCCTTTCCTCTTTCTAAAAGCCTGCTGCATTCGTCAGTACCCTATTTAAATACCTTTCTCCAAAGGATTTCCCGTGGAGTAATGTAAACTGGGTCATGTGATATGACTAGCTTTCTTCCTCTTTCTGTCATGAGCTTACGACTTTATATGAAAATGTCTACTGAGCCATCTTTATGTGTGCGTAAATTTCTGTAAATTCGCAGATGTATCTGTACATTTGTTATGTCTTAAATCTCCCTTTGGAAATGCTCCTTTTCAGATAATTGGGCTGTCTTTTGAATCTTAACTAAAAATTCATAGTCTTTCCCTCCCACCACACACGAGTACATACTTAATAACTGTGGCTGCTGAAATTTTACCTCATTATGTGTGCATTTTCTTTTCAGGATCCCCCCATGGCTGTAACCCTTGGACTCCGAATGGAGGAAATGATTTTTAATCTTGCTGATACACATTTATTTTTTAATGACTTAGAGGTAAGCATTTAAAAAGGTAAGAATAGCTGTATCCAACACCTAAAACTCCTGAATGGTTTGTATATATGCAGATAACCTCGAGAAAACAGAAAGATGAAAATTTAGCTCAAGAGAACTGTAAAATTCCTGTCAAGGGGAAAAAATTGTATTTACAAAGATAAGCAGAAAGCTAAGTTGTATTAATGCATAATACATATTTACTGAAACATATTTAGAATAACAACAACAAAAATCTGTTAATCTCCTACATCGCAGAAGAGGTGGTCTAATTTGCTGTCCCATTCTATATATCCGCTAGACACTACTTCTGGTTCTTTTAGTCTGTTAACCTCAACCCATTTGGCACCTTTGAAATCAGTATTATCCTTTTCAGGTTACTAATCAGAATACTATTAAGTTAAATGTTAGACAAATATTCACAGGTACTATTTATAGTGATAATATGAATCATTAAAATTTGCAGATAATCTGAAACCTAATGTTACATTATCATTCCTCATTTCATCCCCTTCTGGATAAAACCATGCTAGATTGCATAGCACCTCTGACTGGTTTGAATGCATTTGTCTTCTCTTTTTTCTAACTTATTTTTCCATTTCCAACCTCAAATGTCTAAAATAAGAACAAGAGGAAAGGAAAGTAAAACCAAAAGCAAAAAAAAAGGATCTTAGGAAAATAGCCTCAGAGTAACTTAAGTACGTACTGCAGTGAGGCATATAGTATCTGTGCTAATGACCTGAGTAATTAGGCATTTAGAAGATAGAATTTAAAATAATTGTGTAGTTTGGGCACTAGGTAGAAGTATTGCTTGATTGAACATAACAATGCTGAAATAGAGACCCCCCCTTTTTTAAATGACATATTTAATTTTTTATCTTACAGTTTCCCAATGAAATAAAAGCATTTATCTGTAATAATATTGTAGAAGGATATCTATAATAATATTATGAAATTATTCTTACTGAGACCCCAATTTGTGCTACATATGTTATGTTGAACTTCCCATTAATTAATTTACATCCTTTTGAAGTAAATATATTTATTACAGTGTTTTTGCAGGAGAGAAACTCTAGGGCCCAAAAGCATAGGTACCATGTCCAGGGTTACCATCTAGCTAATGGTATAGCTGGGATTTTAACCCATGTCTGTCTGGCTCCACACATACCTCTGCCCCCATACTATGCTGAAATTAGTAGTTTGTGAGAAAGAAAGAAAAGCCAAGTTATTGAGTGACTATATTAAATAAGTCTTAAAATTGACAAGGTCTTAAACCCAGTTTTACTTTGATTTGAAATACGAGACTGCAATGGGTGTTTCAGTATATCCCATGAATGTATGTGCTGAAACTACTGTGTAATCACACCTTTTGTTATTTTCTCTGCAGTGAGTCATCATTTTTACTGGATAATAAAATTACCGTCTATTTCAAAGGGGTCTTTTTTCTTTAATGGACAATAGGAAACATCAGTGTTCTTAGGCAAGTTTTCCAGTTTTAGATAATATGAAATAATAATCACCTCTCTAAAACCTGATTTAAAGTAATCCTACTTCACATGTCTGTCTGGTATAAAGAATGATTTTATATATACATGATAATAGGAAACACATTTTAACCTTACTTGGAACTTGAATTTTTTTTTATATATACAGTGATAGCTTTTTAAGTTGATTTTTCTGTAAGTTAAGTGAATGATTGTCATTCTAAAGAGGATAATAAGATTATTTGCCCTTTCAAAGCTGTAAAAAGAAAAGAATAATAATGAAAAAAAAGAATCGTGATATGTTTTCTTTTTTCAAGTTTTATAAATTTTATTTCATTTGGTTATTTTTTAATAGAAGTAAATGGAAAAAATGACCCTTTAGTTTTTTTAGTGGCATGTTTGAAGCCAGATAGAATAAATTTACCACTCAACTTTTAAAAGAACACTAAAGTGAGAAGTTGAAAGTAGCATATGATCAATGTATGAATACCTTCATACATTTGAAATGAATATTGGCATATCATGTTATGGTCAGCTATGGTGCTTTTACAATTTTTATTTTGGATTAGATATTATATTAAATGTATCTTTAAAAAAACACCGGGCAGGATCTCTGGTAGAAAGTGAGACTGAGAAAATATTGCTATTGTTTTTCTATACTCTGATCATTTCTTTTTTGTTGCTGTGTTTTAGAATGTGATAAAAATTCCATTTGATTCCAACTTGAAACTTAGCTATCCAACAGTACTGTACTTGATCCATGAAGTAATTGACTCTGCATATAAGTTAAATGAACTCTCATTACACACATACACACACATACACTCTCATGAAGTGCCCAGGGACACTCAAAAGTTTATTATTAACTTAAGGGAGATAAATAAGCACTAAAAGTAATAAAGTGTAAACAATAGCTATCAAGATCTTCCAGTACAGTTACAAAGATACCTGCCATCCTTTCACATCTGAATTTAAAAGTTACTTAGATTTCACACAATTTCTCTTTCAATAAATCCCTTGCAGGCAAAGATTGCCATGGGCCCCATAACTGGAAGTAAAGTTATTTGTGCGTCTACTGACAAAAAGGAGAATTTGAGATGATATTTTTTATTTATTATATTTTTTTCCTTGTAGATTTAATCTCCAGGGTCCCTTTTTTAGCCTAAAAATCTAATTTGAGACTTAAATCCTTCAATAGATACTGCAACATATGTAGTAGCAGCTGCTTCTCACATAATTCCTTAAAAGATATAAATTTAAATCCTCCTAATAGACACTTCACTACATCCTGCCCAACTGCAGAGAAGCCAAATGTGCGCACCACTTTCTCTAAGATGAGGACACTCTCTGTTTAAATAAAATGTTAGTTCAGTTAGAATAACTTCCAGAAAAGAAGGCACAAGGGAGTGTGGAATCACAAAAGTGAGCAAAGACTGCTGTGAATTATAGCTGATAAATATCAGTGACAACTTTGTGGTCACCTTATATGCCAGTAACACAAAATTAAAGAATTTAAGATTAGTAACAGAATTATCTCAAATGTTTGAATGCTTGTACTGAAAATTGTTTAATAAAAGCCAAAACATTGCAGTGTTTTTAGTACTTCAGATCTGGGTCAAAATGATTCTTGCAAAATTCCTTAGAGCGAAAACTAATTGAAGAAAAATTATTTAGATTTTTCTAAAAATGTAAATGATTGAAGTTCAGGTTTCTTTCACTGGACTGTAATCCCCAGGCAGCAATCCAGAGAAAACAGTCAGAGTTAGCTAGACATAAATTTAAAGAGAAGTTAGATTTTGAAAAACCTCAAACATAACTTCAAATATGGAGTTCATGGTTCAATAAGTTTGATATACTGTTGTCTTTAGGGATAAAAAGAAAAAATACATTTTGGGGTGAACTATGTACAAATTAATCATACGAGTTAAGACTAGAAATGTCAGAAGAATTTCTCTGCAAATTAGGATGAGAAGGTATTAAATATACAAATCACTTTTAATTACCAGGGTAATTAGAAAAGATTCTTTCTCCCCACTCGTGATATAAATATCTTCTTGTAAGTCTTCACTGTCTAGGATATCATTATTTTATAGCACCATAATTAAATGATTTGGTAATTCTGTCAAGAATTATCACTTGCTTAGGCTTATGCCATTCTTCAATAAATAATTGTTGAAAAGTTATTCTATGCCAGATTGTACCTTAACCCACCAAAAACCAAACTCACTGCCACTGAATCAATACTGACTCATAGTGATCCTATAGGACAGAGTAGAATTGCCCGCTAGGGTTTCCAAGGCTGTAAATCTTTACGGAAGCAGACTGCCACATCTTTCTCCCTAAGAGCGGCTGGTGGGTCCGAACTGCCAGCCTTTCAGTTAGCAGCCAAGAGCTTTAAGCACTGTACCACCAGGGCTCTGATTGTACCTTCAAAAACCAAAAACCAAACCCATTGCTGTTGAGTCAGTTTCGACTCTTAGCAACCCTATAGGACAAAGTAAAACTGCTCCATAGGGTTTCCAAGGAGTGGCTGTTAGATTCAAACCACTGACCTTTTGGTTAACAGCCAAGCTCTTAACCACTGTACTACTAGGGCTCCAACTGTACCTTAAGTGAGAGTATATCTTGGTGATCAAAACATCACTCTCAGGGAGCTTCCAGACAGATTAAATTTTTTGCCTCCTTATCTAGAATTGTAGGTAGAGATTTATTTAAAAATTCCTAAACTCATGATTTGTGTAAATCATATGAAATTTTAATGTACCTGGATTTTCAGATTATTTACCAAAATTGTATTTATTGGGGTAGTCACTGAGTTTAATATTTTAAAGGAACCATGAGTCAACTAGTTCATCCTTAAACTGTAGCAGTATCTACTGACTATGTGTGGAAAGCTGGAGACCAGATATTACATATTTGATGATCAGATATTTCCAAGTCCTATCATGAATATAAATATTAATTGAAAAGTCTTTTTTAGTATGGCATTATATTTTTAAATTTAATGATTTTTTTAATTGAGTTTGAGTGGTAAGCACCTGTGTATGTCAGAATATGTGAGTATGATTGAAATAATTGGGGGCAGGGGGAGGGGTGGGAAAGAGACCCAAAAAGCTAAACAATACTTAATCTGAGGTTAGGGTAAGAGCTACATATTTTAAATGCCCTATCCAGATTCCCTCCAGATCCTTTGTTTGCCAATAGCTGTAATATTTTTCTGGAACTTTGCAGATTATTTGAAGGTTATAAGACTATTAAACCCATTGCCGTCAAGTAGATTATGACTGGTAGTGATTCTATAGGACAGAGTAGAACGGCCCCATAGGGTTTCCAGAGAGTGGCTGGTGGATTTGAACTGCCAGCCTTTCGGTTAGCAGCCAGGCTCTTAACCACTGCACCACCAGGGCTCTGTAAGACTATTAGAACAGCAAAAAATAATTGACTCTGTACAGAAAAGTAACCGTTTAACTTGAGCTTACTATAACTTAAAATCAGGTCACTTGTGTGTATACTTACCTAAAGTTAGTTTTCTTTTAAGAGGGTAAATCTTCATTATTTCCCTTTTACCTGTAAGTATTCTCTTCAGTTTAAAAACAAAACAAAACAATAAACCTGAAAAGGAGAGTAAGTCAGCCTCTCTGGTTATTATCTTTTTACTGTATGGTAGATGACTAGGACTTTTAGAATAACACCAGCATGGTTCTTTCATGGTATTCTGGCCCAGCTAAAAGCAGGAAGTCATGGAAACCTCACAGTACACCATGTGTCAAGCCCCTCCTTTTGCTGTTCAACGAAAAATAAGAGTAACGACTTGAGGTCTTCAGACCAGAATCATTTTTTCTGTCATCAGATTAGTTTTGCTTTCATACTTAAGTATGCAAAGAACAATGCCTGAAAGTGTAGAAAGTGATCACAAAGATTCAAAAGAGATTTTATCACCAATAATTTCAAGATTAAATCTATATTTTAAATTACTCTCAACAAACCTCCATGCCAGATGCTTTCAGGGCCCCTTTTAATGGCACTGTTCTGGATTTAGATCTTACAGAGTAGAAATGGTACCATTTTCCAACAAGCAGAAAACAGAAGTGAGATGATAGGGTGGATGGGCAAATGCTGCCATCTTCTGGCCGTTGCGTGGTCAACAGAAGATGAAAAAACCTTTAATTGTGGTGACAAACATCATTGAAAACACAAGTAACTTTTCCAATATTTTTAACAGGAGTGTGATCAAGTTCATATAGATGATGTTTCCTCCGATGATAATGGGCAGGACTTAAGGTAAGCCATGCCTTTTCAGTATGCTGTTTCCTACAGAAATTCAGTAATGGAGTTTTGCACATGTAATTACTTCTTTTATTTCTTTTTAATGTATTTTGGGTGTTGCAGTACCTACAGTTTTGCAACTGATGGCTTCCATGCAGCTGCAAGTAGTGCAAACCTTTGTTTGCCAACAGGTGTAAGAGGAGGGGTTGACTGGATGAGGAAGTTGGCTTTTCGTTACAGAAGAGTAAAAGAATTATATAACACCTACAAGAACAATGTTGGAGGTATGTGTGGCTTTTTAAATCTCATAAAGACGCTTTAGGCATAGGTAAAATTCAAACTATAGTTCTGTGTTAAAGACTATCCTACTGTAAGGTAAATCCTTGAGCACATGCTGAACGACACTGGTCTGGAATTTCAAGTTTCTTAGAATTGATGAGAAAAGAAATTAACTACAAAATAAAACATTCAGCTCTGTCAAAGAAATTGGGAATTTTTTTGTGAAATTTTGTGTGCCCAAATGTACTGTCAAGATTTATAGTAGGGAATTGGTTTGCCCTTCTTCAACTGGCATTTGGAATATTATCACACAGAGGAATTGATTGAATCAGCGGGAAGAAGACCGGTCCAAGAGGAGAGGCCCAATCATTGAAGGAGAGTTGTTAGCAGTCATTGCCTTTTTGGAATCCTATCAAAAATGAAGAGTGATTAGTGTCATTTTAAAGACTTTCAGCAAGCCTGTTTTATCCTTTTAAAAATTGCATATTATCCAACAGTATATGTTTCCCATGTTAGTGTTAACCGTAGTTATCATGGTTTTAAAAGTTCAAGTACTCTCTAGGTTGTATCTAAACCATTTTGTTCTTATCCATATATATTACAGGTGACATCAAAACAGGTCCTGTATGTACTTCTTGGCACAAGAAGCCTTAATGATCTCTGTTACTAGGATCAGTTTTAGGTCACAGGGTTCCTAAGATTAGTGATTAAGTCACCTAAGATTTTTTTCTAGGTTTTTAAGTTTGTTTCTCTTTTTAAAAAATGAAGAATGATTGTGGAGCGTAAACGAGAATCAGAACTGAATGACAGAGTTAAATACACCTGTGAGTGATTAAGAGCTTGGCTGCTAACCAGAAGATTGGCAGTTCGAATCCACCAGCCACTCCTTGAAAACCCTGTGAGGCAGTTCTACTCTGTCCTATAGGGTCACTATGAGTCAGAATTTACTCGATGGCAGCAGGGTTTTTTTGGTGCATCTATACATAGGTATATTCACATATATGTTATAGAATACAGTATAAAAAACTAAGAGCTGATTTTTTGAAAGCAGATCACCAGGCCTTTCTTCTGAGGCACTTCTGGCTGGACTCGAGCCTCCAACCTTTCTGTTAGCAGCTGAGTGTGTTAACCATTTGCAGCATCCAGGGACTCCCAGAATGTAGTGTAGTATAATAAATATATATATATATATATAATATATCACATATATATTTACATATATATATATTTTACACACACACACTTCTTGAGAGTAGGGCTGTGTCTCTGTTTGCCAGTACCTAGCGTTGAGACACATAATAGAAGAGAACATAAAAAGCATAAAATCATAGACAATATTAATATTATAACCAAAAGTGGCTTAGATATTATAGGATGGAAGACATTCATGTACAAATGAGAAATGGGCCTCTAAAAGCTACTGCTTTGGCAAGGTCCTAGGGGCACAGCTCTGGTTTCCTAATTCATTCCAATAGTCTATTCAAGACATTTTGGTAAAGTCAAATGAATAGATATTTTATTTAAAATCAATAATGGGCAGCATGTTTAACATTAAAATAAGTCTCCCTTTGGGAAATATGAATTAATTTTTATCATTCAGATATATAATAACTTCATTCTTAAGAATATTATTTGAATTATTTTAAAATTAATAAGATTACTATGAAATAATCATATATCTTAAAAAGTTTAAGCAACCACATGAGAGTCCATTTTGTATGATATGTGAACATCTCTTTATTGATAATGAGGACACGTGAGACTTGCTAGAAACTATGAATTTTGGTAAAAAATTTTCCATTTCTATATATGCCCCAAACCAAAAAAATCAAACCCATTGCCATCGAGTCGATTCCAACTCATAGTGACCCTACAGGACAGAGTAGAAATGCCCCACAGGGTTTCGAAGGAGCAGCTGGTGGATTCAAGCTGCTGGCCTTTCGGTCATTAGCTGTAGCTCTTAACCACTGTGCCACAAGGGCTCCCTATGTGCTTCCAGTATCCTGAAATAGTTTAAATTAAAAAACCTTCATCTTTAATGGATTTACATTATTTTGTTTGTCTCGACTACTAACCTAAAGATTAGCAGTTCAAAACCATCCAGCAGCACCGCAGGAAAAAGGCCTGGCTATCTGCTTCCATAAAGATTACACACAGCCAAGAAAACCCTATGGGGCAGTTCTACTTTGTAACACGTGGGATTGCCATGAGTCAGAATCAACTAGGTGGCAACGAGTTTGGTTTTTGTTTTTTTATTTTGTCATAAAAGCAAGATCTGGATCATTTTAAATAAAAACTTAGCGTACCTACCTCTTATCATAACAACATTGTAACTATGTCATGCACTTCAGGATTATAAACACGATGCTTACCTTCCTTTTACAAAGTAAAGTATTTGTGATAATTTTTGCACTAGTATTAGAAACATTCTACGAGCTATGTTCAGTAGTATCATTATTACTATTTCAAAGTGGAAATGATTGTGATTAATAAGAAATTAAACATTTTCAGGCAGCCAAATTATTTGAGATTTGACTTCCTAGATCTGGTAGACCCCATTTCTCCTCTAGACCTGTTGTATCACAGTTTCTTGGAGTGGGACCCAGAATTTTCAGAGCTCTCCAGGTGATTGGTATCTGCTGCACCAGACACTGATTTCAGTGGGGCAGACCGTGGCCCTCTTTTTCACTGTTATATCCCCAGTTTTTAGCCCAGAACCTGATGCCCAGAAGTTGTTCAATAAATGCCTGTTGAATGAATGAATGGATAATCAATTCTGAAATGAAGAATCAATACTGGTATAAATCAGTATCTCTCTCCGTTTCTGATATAGATTGGAATAAAAATTATTTATACCAGATATACCAAATCAAAACCAAACTCACTGCCATCAAGACAATTCTGACTCATAGCGACTCTGTAGGACAAAATCAAGTTGCCCCATAGGGTTTTCAAGGCTGTCATCTTTATGGGAGCAGACTGACACACCTTTCTCCTGTGGAACTGCTGGTAGGTTCGAACCACTGACCTTTTGGTTATCAAACAAGTGCTTTAACCACTGCACCACCAGGGCTCCTATACTAGACTAGGGAGGGCAAACTAGGTAGTCCAGAAAAAACTGTCTCTTAACTCAGCTTTGCTTTTGGTGTTGCAGGACTCCTTGGCCCTGCCAAGAGAGATGCATGGCTGCAGTTAAGGGCGGAGATTGAAGGGCTGACAGACTCCTGGCTAACAAATGCACTTAAGTCATTATCAATTATTAGTACGAGGTAAGTGATATCATCGCAGTTTCCATATTTATTGTGTTGAAGATGTAGTTCTAATAGCACAACATATATAAAAATGTTTCCTAGACTGTTTTAGAGTTTGAAGAAATGTAACAATTCACTGACCCCAGTGATGCGTTTCAATCTCACTGTGTTTATGTGTATGGTGTGTGTGTTAGGTGGCTGGTTGCTGCTTCTCAGCGTAACCAGGGGATTCCATCTCTCCACCTTTATCTCCTTCTAACCACTGGTAATCCCCACAGGAAGATCAAGTTGCTTCTAATGCAACAGGAAAGAGAGCATTTCATTGGTGGCAAAGTACAAGGAATGATGACAAAAACAAAACAATACTATCTATACAATAAATGCATGTTTTAGGCCTTTTAGGTTTTAATAGAAAATCTTCATAATTTAAATGCAACAAAAAGGCAAGAGATGGCCCATGAAAAAATTCTAACCTTTTTGTCTAACCTTTTTGTTGTTTGAACTGAACAGTGAAATTCTGACTTACAGTATAGATAAAAGAATTAAATAGATTTATAACTAGATAACAACCATGTGCCATAAAGGCTAATTAATAAAGTAATGTAAGTCTGAAAAGTGATAGCTAGTATGGGTGGAGATGAATCTTTGTACTGCCTAATCCATAGTTTTATTTATGAATTAGATGAATAAATAAAAGCATAGTTAGCAAAATTGTGGATAACACAAAATTCAAATTAAGAGATAATATTAGGACTGACTCAGTCAGGATAGAGACAGATCTTGGTAGGGTAAAAGGAGAGTCCAGTATTAAGAACATGAAAGTAAATGGTACGTATTAAATCTTGAATGTGGTTTTCTAACCATGTGGCACACTCGGGAGACGCACTGATAGCAAGGTGTCTAATGGAGAGGGGAGGGGGCAATAGCTTCCCTGTGTTTGATTCAAGAGGCCACAGCAAAATACTTTGCTCAGTTCGGGGCACGACATTCCAACAGGGACAATGACAAAGTTGGAGGATCCAGCGTCCAGCGGAGTGACCGGAGGGTTTTTAGAATGTGGAAACCAGGTTAAAGAAAAGGTTGGAGGGAGGAACCAGTGAATTTATTCTAAAGAAGAACCAGGTGTGGGGCAGGAGGACCAATTTCAACTGTTTGAACAGTTAGGCTGAAAGTAAATTAGATTTCTCATTGTAGCTGCAACGGAGAGAATTTGGACCAATGAGTCGGAAGTCTAGGAAGAGAGATTTTTTTGACTCCATGTAAAGAAGAGTTGTCTAACAATTAAAGCTATTTGAAAATAGGACGTGCTCTCTTGTAATCTCTGTAACTGATAACATGGGGACCAAAGATCGGGGAACTGGGACACGAGGACTCCTGAGCCCCTGAAATTGTGGGCAGAATGTGGAGGAATGTGCGTTTCTCTGAGTAGGAGATCCACAGCTTTCATTATCTCTGAAAGATGTTTCCCAGATTGTTAAAAACTGAAGGTTATTGCATTGGAGGTTTGGACAGATAACCTTAACATATCAACTACAAAGGTATGTGATTTTAAGAAGTAAAGGTATAGCAAGGAAGGGAAAAAAAATAAAGAAGTCAATGCATATTGAAACTTAAGTGTCATGCAACCTGCTAAGTTATTCACGTATTTTACCTTATTGGTAGTTTTACAGAGGGAGCCCTGGTGGCGCAGTGGTTAAGTGCTTGGCTGCTAACCAAAAGGTCAGCAGTTCAAACCCACCAGCTGCTCTGCGGGAGAAAGATGTTGGCAGTCTGCTTCCGTAAAGATTACAGCCTTAGAAACCCTATGGGGCAGTTCTGCTCTGTCCTGTAGGGTCACTATGAGTCAGAATCAACTCGACAGCAATGGGTTTGGTTTTGGGTAGTTTCACAAAATCCCTGAAAAGTCAGAATAACTAGATGCTTATGCAAAACATTGCTGAATTATTTATCAGAGCCTTTAGAAAAGTTTGTCTCTTGACCCTGATTCCTCTTATATGAATATAGTCGAAGAATGCAAATCAAAGATCTAGAAAAAAATTTATATGTAAAGTGGCATTATTTATAATATTGAGAAACTGAAAACAATGTAAGTATCTAAACTTAAAAGAAATTAAGGTACATCCACATGGTGGAGTAGTTTGCACACATTTTGTTTTATTGGAGAAGGGGAAATAATAGGCTATGTGATATAAATTAATAGTCTCATGATATAAGTAGATGAAACAAGTGGAATATAAAATTGTGTATGTGGCATGGTCCCAGTGGGAAAAAAAATATATACACTGACAGAAACACTGAAAGTAAATATGCAAAATGGAGAGAGAAGTTATTTCTGTATGATTAGATAATGGATTATTTTCTTTTTCTTCTTTATATTTGTCTGTATTTTATAGACTTTCTATTATAAATATTGCTTCATTTATAATGAAAAAATGAAGTGATGTAACTGAAGAGCTCATAGTGTAAATGATGAAACTGGATTTCAGAGCCAGATCTCAAGACTTAAAAAGCCTATGCTTTTGTTCCACCAAATTTTCGTTCTGTAGCATTTCTCTCTCTGTGATTTCAGACAGCATTGTATTTTGACAAAATAGTATGTAGAACCTTTAGTGCCACAATATAGTGACGTGTTTGTGTATTATTCTTAATAATCTCTCTGCCATTTTTTGGGGAGTTTTTCTTTGTGCTGATAGACAAGTCACTTTCTAGGTCTTCATTTCTTCCTCACTCAGATTAAGGATTGTATTGGTGATATTTATTTTATTTCTACCTCTAAAAGTCTATGTTTCTTTATCCCATGTAACTGATGACCTCATCACTTGCTTCTAGGAGTCAAAGCTCCTATTCAAAGCCAGACATCTACAAGAGCTAATTTAGAAATGATTGTTTTCAGAGGCTAGTTTATAATTGGTTTTGAATAAATTATAGTTTTTCCTTACAAATGATAAGTTTAAAGAAAATAAAACATAATGTTAAGTATACTTGCCGTGTATATGCATGCCGTGAAAAGTTAGCGTTCACGTTGCTGCTCTAAGTTGCCATTGAGATGAAGTTTCTGCTTTCAGTAGGATTCTAGAGAATTGTAGACAGAGTTGTAAAGAATATTTCACAGGTCCTCACAAATATGTAGTAAACATACAAAATACGACATAGAGAAAGGCTCCAGGGCTCTGTGAGTCTGAGTCCCAGTTTTCATGTGTGCACCTTGAACCCTTCGATGCAGGATGGCTCAATTTTCCAATAATCCAGAAAGGTCCATTCTTTATGGATCTCCCTCTCACAACCCCCAATCTCTTGGTGTTAACTTTATTCCCTCACCCCACCCCCAGTATGCTAACATGAAATAAACAGCTCTCAATTACAGAATAGGAGATTCTCACTCTCAAAGAGTGGGGCCTTTCACATGATTGAAACTGGGCTCATTAGGTGCATTTGCCGTTTTGTTGTTGTTGTGGAGAAGATTCAGGGATTCATCTGGTTCAGTAATAAATAAAAATTCTCTCCATTTCTACCTCCTCACAAACTATCACCTGTCAGCCCCTTGATTAGGACTCCGAGCTTTTGCACAAAACCAAAAAACTCCTTCTGCCCTCCCATCACATTCTTTCTGCCCATAGTTTCTACTTCTCAGGCCCTGTAAACCCTGGAATATGGAGTCCTATCACCAGAAAAAAATACTTGTAAACTTAGAGCTAAGCCTAAGGCTTATTCCCTTCCCCTAAGTAAGCCTTCCCATGACTGCTACTGGCTTTGGTAGGCACCCTTCTCTGACGTTCCATAGGGACCTGAAGATATCTTTATTATAGAACGTATTTCATATTGCAATTGTATATATACTTGCTTCTCTCCCTATCTACCTTACAATTTAGAGAGGAAAAAAGAAATGTCATTCAGCCATGACTTCTTTTTGCCCATTTTCTTCTACTTCCCCCTTTTTTTGGATGTATTCACAGCCACGGTGCTTTCCAGGTAGTACCAAAAACCAAACTCGTTGCTGTGGAGCCTATTCCAACTCATAGGGACCCTATAGGGCAGGGTAGAGCTGCCCCATAGGCCTTCCAAGGCTGTAATCTTTACGAAAGCAGACTACCATATCTTTCTCCCAGATCCAGGTAGTAAGCACTCCATAAATAACTGTTGAATACTGAAAGGTCAGCGGTTTGAACCCACCAGTGGCTCCGTGTGAGAAAAGACCTTGCTATCTGCTCCCGTACGTAAAGATTACAGCTCAGAAACCCTATGAGACAGTTCTACTCTATCCTACAGGGTTGTTATGAGTCAGAATTGACTCCACAGCACACAGCAACACACTGAAGGGTTAGATTACCATGGGCCCTTATTATGAATCGAGAGATCACAGTGACAATTTTAAATTTATTCTGCTAGAGCTTATTTATTATTAGAAAACAAATATATGTATGTATTTCCTCCCTATCTTAGGAGTAACTGCGTAAATGTCTTGGTAACAACCACCCAACTGATCCCAGCACTTGCGAAGGTTCTGCTGTATAGTTTAGGAGGTGCTTTCCCCATTGAGAATATTTACAGTGCAACTAAAATAGGTAAGAAAATTAAATTGTGTTTTGGGATTTTTTTGAGTGTATGTCTCTGTATGATCCTCTTTTTCATCAAATTTGCTCTTTGAGCATCGGGCAAATTTGGAGAGGTCGCAAATAACAAAGATCCTTCCAACTCACTGTGCATGTGTAAATTTTATGACAACTTTTGGCCAATGAAATTCTGAACTCCACATTTGGATAGTTCTGACTCATTCTTTTTATTTCATAGAGTAGTAAGGCACATGGTATCTAAATAAGATACAGTGTCTCTAGTCATAGTATTTAGTATTTTTGTGTATCTAATATTGCATCCTTACATATGCAGTAATCTAGATCTAAGATAAAAATACTATTTTGGCATTACAGGGGAGTTTCACATGCTTGAGCTAGTGTCCTTTACTCCAGAAAAAAAAGATTTTATAAATCAGAAAACATAAATGGAATTTTCATATCACATGGGTGGCTGGAAATCCACATTTCTAAAAATGTACAATGTCAGTCAAAGAACGACAACCTTGTTTTTTGGATAATGTCTGTCTATGTAGCCATCTTTGACTTTAGGTACATTTCACAGACTAAGACTTCTAATAAACTTTCAAAACCAAAACTTCATCAACTATGGCCATCTTGAAAGAGTGAAAGGAAAACATCTCTCCTTTTCCACTATTTGTCAAGGACGTGCCTGGGGAAATGGATGAGCTGTGTAATGTGCCCTGAAGGTCAGCAAACTTTGGCTCTGGCACCCTGACAAGAGCAGTTTAAAATCCTAAAATCCCCACCAAAAATAACCTGCCCTGGGCCTTTCAAAGGTCTAGTATTGGCACTGGCAAAAGGAGCCCCCACTTGCAGCTGTTTTAGGAGTACAATTAAAGAGAGCCAAGCATTCATAAAATAAATTCCACGTTGTCACAAACACTACAACTCAGAGCCTCAGTGCCAATCCCATGCACTTTTTACATGAACATATGTATTTATGCTAGCAGAATTTATATACAGGAAAATTTGATTTTGCATTTTGGCAAATCAAATAATTTTATACCAGCATAAGCATTTCTTTTAATAAGGACAATATTCTTTTTTATTGGCCAAATTGTTCCTTACTTATAATCTGAAAACACATTTTTATTTTTTTTTACTTTCAAGCTAGGATTTTTTGAAGTTGTGAACTATCAGATTAAAGAAAAAATGCAAAAGTAGCCATGACTGCATGAACATTCTGGGAATGAAATTCAGAAAGTACCAGTGTTTAAAGACAAAGAACATGTAGAAATTCCACAGTGATACTCCAGTAGTGCAGGAGCCCTGGTGGCTCAGTGGTTAAGAGCTCAGCTGCTAACCAAAAAGTCAGCAATTCAGATCCACCAGGGACTCCTTGGAAACCCTATGGAGCAGTTCTGCTCTATCCTATAGGGTCGTTATGAGTCGAACTGATTCGACGGCACCTAAGAACAACAACTTTCATATAGTGCAATCAGAGGATAATAGTGTTATCAATGCTGTGGCCCTATCAGACAGCACTCTTAGTACAATTAATCTGAGCAGACTAGCTCCTACCCACTTGAAGAAAGGAGTTGTTTATCCAAGTAATTCCACCTCCTAGTATTTCCTTTTTCCTTATAGGTGAATCTTCAGTTTTTCAGTCATATGTTCAGCTGGTTTGTCTACACTACTTAAAATAAATTAGATAAAACTGATATATAGCATTAAATAAACAAATGCTATTAACACTTGTGATTGCTTTTAAAATTGTTCAGATATTCTTTTGGTGGAGTAAGCATACATGCTTCTCTGGGTCAAATGCTTAACCCTACTGACTTTTTCAGAGTGTAAAACACATTTGTTTGATAATCTGCCCAAAGTGAAAACTTAATGTTATTCAAACATGTTTGTTGATTTCATAAACCCAGAAGTTGCAAGCTAGTTCAAGTGATGTTCAAGAGGAATTAACACTTTATAAATCTTTAGGTTACTGAATGCAATGGCTGGAGGAATAAGCAGTGCATTGTTTTTCAGGCAAGGAAAGCTGTTTTGAGCGTATAGTGTCCAGATTTGGCACTAACATAACTTATGTTGTGATTGGAGATGGCCGAGATGAGGAGCATGCCGCTAACCAGGTAACTTCACTCTGAACTGTATCTCATTTATCTTCCAGGAAAAGAAAGTTGCTTTGAACGAATAATGCAAAGGTTTGGCAGAAAAGTAGTATATGTTGTAATTGGGGATGGTGTAGAAGAAGAACAGGCAGCAAAAAAGGTAACCTGTCTCAAATAATGTTGGTGTGATCCTTCTAATGCAAGCCGTTTTGTTTGCATTCCTGTAGTTTGGCCCAGTGGCAGCTTGATAAATGATTTCAATTTATAGATGCAAAGCAGTGAGAGCATGAGAAGGTCAATACTTACATTCAAATAAACCATTTGGAGTCACGCATTTTTTTGCCTGAAATTTGATAAGAAATGCAGGAAAATTTAATTACATTTTTTGTGTGTGTAAATATGTGTGTGTGTGTGTGTGTGTATATACATGCAGATACATGTGATCCATAGATGATGTGAAAGGCCCAGTTCTTACCCTTTTCTTCATTCATCCTCTTTATACCATACATTTTGGGACTGCATGAAAGTAAGTATTAGTAAGGGTAGAATGAGTGTAGATTTAATAGCTGAAGTAAAAACTGTTGTGAGAGAATTTAAGAAAACGTTATTGAAATAGGATGTATTATTCAAGATCATTTTGTGCCAATTTTCCCTAGAGACTTAGAGGCAGTGTGCCTCACACCTTCTAGAAGAGTGTCTTCTGTTTTGGTGAGCCATCAGTACTTAATTGAAGCCAAGCAGATGGCCTTGAACACATTGGAAAGATCTCATAGGCCCTAGGTATTTAAATAAGGCTTTTCATCTGGCCCATATTTCTGAATAAGAAACCAAGGCAATTAAAAACCATTAAATGGTTGGCTCAAGATCAAAGGAAGAATGATGTCAGGCTTGACCACAGACACCAAAGTATCAGTCAGCACAACACTGAGCTCTGTAGCTTCTTTCACTGACTAATAGCAAAACATTGTGTAGCCAAGATAAAAGAAAAAGAATTTATAGAGCAAAACAAAATAATCATTAATTTTTTAAACAATGACATATCAGCCCGTAGTATTTTATAGAGAAAGACATTTCTCCATGTTCTCCTGAGGAGATTTCAAAGCATTATCTAATAAAGCCTTCACGGAATACTTGCATGTTCAGGAGTGTTTACCTGATTTCTATTTTTCAAAAAATTATCCATTTTCTGGAGAAGTTTATGGCCATAATAGAAAGAGAAAGGAAGTGATTTACGCTTCTAGTCAATTCAAATCAAGCAAAATGGAGAAAGAGAAACCACTTCCCCTTTTAGAAGGCTTGGTGACAGTGTTGGCAGCCATACTTGAAATTCCCCATGCTTTTTCATAATATCAAGAGAGGTGGTGCAGCCTCTGCCTCCCACAGAGCTACCTAGGTCTTAATTAACAATGTCAATGACCCAAGACAGCACACTGGACCCAAGGACATTCTGTGTGAGGTCAGGTCTGCAGCTTCAAGGAATACAACTTTCATTGCTGACTCCTACTTGAAATGCTTCCCGTCACACACCATTGAAATCTCTTCTGGAGTTTGTCAATGTCTTGCATCCATATTGTTTTGATTTTTCACATTGACACCATAATTATGCACAACGAATAGCAGTAAATTATGCAGCCACTGCAGAGAACAGTTTACATGTCTTTTAGCCTATGCAAAATTCACATATTATCTAGGTCTAGGATAATAAAATCCACTTTTCCAAACCAGAGGCAGTATATGCCTTTGAAAATTAAAACTTACAAAGTCTACCCCAATTATCCATGTTGTGAAAGGTAGACTTGGTATATGCTAATTGTTATACCTTCTGCTTTACACCTAAAACTTCAGGAGAAAAAGGCATGACTCCACGTGAGTGAGAACTTTGGTTAGAATGCTGTTTCCAAATGGTTGTGTTTATGTAGGTACAGTTTTGGTGATGGTGAAGGCTTATAATTCTGTTTTGAAACATAGGTGGTTGGTTTCTCTAGTACCCAAGATGCATGCTTTTCTTTGGATGTAGTTGTAATTGCATGTGTGGAAATACTAAGTCCTATTGTTACTATAAATAGATCTGAGCTGAATGAAAAAAAAAAGTTACTTCTAGGTGGAACTCGGCTTTAATTTGACCTAAAAACATACGTCATTTTGGAAATTTAAGAAGAAATCTCCAAGTTTAAGGATAATAATGTACAACAGCTCTCCTATAGAAATATATAATGCAAGCTACATATGTAATTTTAAATTTTCTAGAAGCTGTATTAAAAAAAGCAAAATGAGACAAGTAGAATTAATTTTAATAATATATTTTAATTAACCCAATATATCCAAAATATTATTGTCTCAACTGCTAATCAATATAACAATTATTAATTGCCATTTAATGCCTTTTTTCCCTTCTATTCTCAGTCTCTTTAAATTCACTGTGTATTTCATACTGAATTAGCCACGTTTCAAGTACTTAGTGGCCATATGTATCTAGTGACTACCATACTGGACAGCACAGAATTTTATAATAGTAATGATTAAAATGATGCCTAATAAAATACCTTTTCCGTTATATATATATGTGTATGTATATGTATTTCCATTATATGTATAAATGTATATTACACACACATATATTTTATAAGATGTCATTGGCTCAAACTTACAAATAATCTTTCTGCTTTCGTCAGTTGCTATAGCACAGGGTTTCTTTTTTTGATTATTACCTCCCAGTGGAGTCTTTTTAGCCTTTTTGTCCTAATCATTCCCCTCCATGAAATTCTAATACTACATATATATTGTTGTATGGAGTCCCTTGGTGGTACAAACAGTTAATGGGCCTGGCTGCTAACCAAAAGGCTAGAGGTTCAGGTCCACCCATAGGCACCTCAGAAGAAAGGCTGAGTGATACACTTCTGAAAAATCAGCCATTGAAACTTCTATGGAGCACAGTTCTACTCTGACACACATGGGATTCCCATGAATCAGAATGGACTCGGCAACTTTTTTTTTTTTTAAATACATATACTCTGACACACATAGGGTTGCCATGAGTCTGAATTGACTCAATACTATATAGTGGTATACTTGTATATCTTTTAAGGGTACAAGCCATTGTAATGTGTGAGGTTTTCTCATTCCCCAAGAATCCATTTGTGCCCCCTCTGGGGTAATATCTCCCCCCTGGAGAATGCATGTTAGAGTGCCTTCCCTCAACCCAGCCAGTGAAATAAATCAGATCAACTCTACTAGATTAAAGTATTAGCTACCCCAGACAAATAAAGTTGATCAGCCTGTATTTTTCCTACCTTATACAGTCCAGTTTCAAATTATTTTTTACTTAGCAAGGAACTAACCTTCTTTTCCTCTCAAGTAGACAAAAGACTTGGGCTTAGGGGGTTTATGGGTTGTTTTTTTTTTTTTGTTTTTTTTTACACGAGAGATGGACCTTTAGGAGTGATGTAGTCATTAAAACTTTCTTTCCATCAGCCAGGTAAGATTTCGATGCCCAATTTGCTTTCCCAGACATTGATATTGGCAATGCCACTTTTCTAGAATAAATATGTTACTTAAGAAATTTCATCATTTATTTTAATCATCATTAAAATCCAGTTCAGATCTATTTCTTTATGATTTTGACAATGCTCTTTTGATGCTTCCAAGCCTTCAAATATCATCAACCCTCCTTTAAATGCCCTACCTTAAACTTGGATGGACTACACATCCTGTGTGTACTGCTGCTTTGTGGATACAATAGTTATGATCTCTCTCCATTCCTTCCTCTTCTCTGTCCCCTCCCTCCCTCTCTTAACTGCACAGCACAACATGCCCTTTTGGAGGATATCAAGTCACTCAGATCTCTTGGCTCTACATCAAGCACTGGAATTAGAGTATTTGTAACTGTGTTCTCCAGCTGGAGATTCATTTTTTGTATTTCAAGTACACTGAATTTTTATGTGTGATTCAGTGCCTCTGGCTTTACACATATAAATTGTCTTAAAGGATGAAATCATATTTGGAATGAAAATTCCAGAATGAAGAATTCAGATTGCCGAATGGAATTAAACTTTAGTGCTACAGAAAGGAAGCTCTATGGTCTTACATTTACAACACTTTAATGATTTGGGGGAAAAAAAAAATCTGTGGAGGTTGCTGGTACACACCAAATGAGTCCTAACTGGAATTAACAGCTTTATCAAAGAACTCTCACCCTGGCAAAGCACCAACACACAGGCTCCGTCTGACAAGGTGGTATTCAACATTCCTCAACATGGGATCTCTTCTCAGCCCTGAGGTTTGAATCTGACTTTAGCCTACCTAACCCAGAAAATCTGAATTGGAATGCACTCAGACTGTATAAGGACAGTCCTATCTAGACCTGTAATTTGTGTAAATTATTGATGAAAATAATTTACTGTGACTTTATTAGCAGCTGACTTTGAAAGTGGATGCAATTTTTTCTTTCATTTGTGGGGGAGGGGCGAGGGAGGGAGAGTGGGAATATAATATTGTTTCTTTTTTTAAGTTTGGCAAACAGAATGTTCATATTGATGTGCTGTGCCTTAAATACAAGACAGCGTTTGTGTGTTACAATGTAACTTTGGTTAAAATCTCTGTAGATAATGAAAAACAAAAACCTTTGTGATTATTCTTCACATGACCAAATTTTAAATTCAAGCAATCAAAGCTTAATACTGCATCAGCAAGAAACTGAGTATTTGTTGCAATAAGAAAAAAAATAATAATAAAGGAAAGCTTGTGTTTTTATTTGGGTTCTTAATAATTCCAATAATTTGTATGAGGCAACTATTTGTGTAGAAGGTTTAGGCAAGACTGTGGGACCTTTACTTAGAAAGTGAAATGTGTGTTGAAGTCTTGAGTACCCTTTCTGCAATTTTACTGGAGAGAACTAAGAGCCATATTCATGATGACTTGCACTGTTTTGAGTTTGAGACTTTTTGATAGGTGTAAGTTGCATAGAGGATAATATTCTCATGCATATCATAAAATATATATATATATCACCCAGACATTCTCAGATATTTGTGTTGAATGAACATGGCTTAAAATAATGCTAAGTACATTTTTTTTCCTAATACCATTGTGAAAATGAGATGTCATCCATAGTTGAAGGCTGATGCCCCAGATGGCTTCCTAAGGAAAGTAAATCTACAGAAATGTTACCTAGAATATCATCATAAGATAAATTAGCAAGTGAGCCAGGCATTACTGAAATCACAAGAGTAAAATATTACCTGGCTCTCTGTTTGAACACATCAATCCAGTTTCTCTCCATTATAGACTCGCAGATGTTAGTTTCTGCCTGTACAGTTACTATACAATTGACTGCATTCATTGCAAGGAGAATTTGTCATCGTGGGTTTGCATGTGGTTTTTTTTTTTTTCCCCCCTTGGTGTGTAGCCCACATTAGGAACACGATATAGGTTCTCCTGTCATTGTTTATGAAATGATTTCCCTTGTGGAAATTTAAGACTTCAAGATCTAAGAGTGTTTTAGTGGTGTCTGCACCTGCAGTTCCATGTTTAAAATGTCATAATGTGGAACCTGGAGTCCAGCTACTGGGCAGTGTCTATAACTGGAGGGTGGTCCATGGTAGTTCATCCTCTGCAGCTTCTGTGACTTCAGTGAGGCCAGTGCTTTGCACACTAATCACAACATTCGCTATAGAAATACGATTTTATTTTTCTAGGATATACAACCAATATTTCTTCACTGAATGCTAAGGCCATGTTTACATTGGGTAGAAAGAGATTAAGATTCCTAATTTTGCATAAGATTGTGATTTAATCATAAAACCTTAAACTTACTCTTTAAGTTTTGTAGCTTTTGGTCTAAGTACTGTTGCAGACAAATTAAAGATGGGATACTTTTAATAATAATAATTTTTTGAAGTATGATATTTCTGTTGGCCTTTAGCTTGAAAATAACAGTTTAAAAAATTAAAGAGTTGCGTTGATATTCAACACTTAATTACTTTGTGCACTAAAACCTTGAATATTGATTGCTGTGAATAAGACGAAATGATCTTTACTGTAGAGCCAGTTTCTTTAAAGATAGAATGGTGGCATGACATGTAAAATTTCTGTTCTTTTTCATATGAAACAAGCAGAGTTTCTTATGCTGCTAAATCTGCAGGTACAAAAGGAACACCCCCTTCAAAAAGCAAAGATAAGTGCTACTGATTGCATCAACCAGTGCTATTTCTCACACACGTCTTTCTTCTGCGTGTGTGTTCAGAAGAGGCTGCGAGCATAAGACCTAACTGCCAGGTTGACGGAGAACAGTGTGTCTGGCAGGACAAAGGTGCAGGCCAACAAGCCGACATCACAGCTGGGTCTTGTAACTTGAAGCATGCACAAACTAGAGCTCTTCCCTTCTCACCTTAGGAACAGAAAGTCCTCTTCCTTTCTGATCTGCAAAACAAAAATAACAGCAACAACAAAAACACCACCTTTGTCAATCCTCATACTCTACTTGCATATAGAATATTGTGCCTTATTGTAAACCAGTTAGAAAAATGGTATGTAACTAAAATGGGGTTTCGGCTACTGTACAAAGTTGATATATTACTAGAAAAGGTAACCGCCTTGTGTTGCACCAGAAAAATATCAAGACCATGTAATTTCAGTAACAAAATAGGTGGTATGGCTACAATATTATACCATATGAGATGAAGTCATGATACACCTGCAAAAGTTTGTAAATCAAATTCAGAGGCAACAAAAAAATAGAATCAAGTAGTTTGCACTAAGAATTTTTTTTTTCCTTAGTCTCTGGTGAGCTAAGATTCAAAATAGTGTCAACAGTATGCTCCAGCATGAAGTTGTTTTCTAAAAGCACATTTGATTATGACAAACCTACATTCTCAGTGAATATGGCATTTAGTATTTCTTTTAAAAACAAACTTAAGCATCATGAGCCAAAGTTGCATTTTGACTCCCACCTCTTGTAGCATTATGGAAATCTCACAGTGAAAGTCAAGGGTTTCTGTCATATATTAGTAAGGTATAGTTTATTGGGGCGTACATAATTTAAAGAAATGTAAATTAATATTAAAAGCTTGTAAAAATATGTACATCTTTACTATTTCTCAATAAATACCTTTGGAAATGTTTTCATTTTCTTCACCCTCCCATGTTGTTGAGTTTTTGTTGTATATATTTAGCTTGATTCTAAGTAATGTGAAATTTGCATTTGTTTCTTGGTGTCTTCTTACCTTCTCTTCTTTGTGCCTAAGTTGCATAATTTGCAGTTAAGGAAAGCTGAGATACAACACAGTAAAATGTCACCAAGTAAGACCACAAAGTGGGCTGGTTTACTGACAAGGTGTGAGTTGCATAGTTTTTTTGTTTTTGTTTTTTATTATACATATAGGGAGCTGCATTCAAGTACATAAAGTAGCCAGAGTTCATTATTGATAATGTAATGCTTATCTGAATATTTAATGCAAGTAGTTCCCTTTAGGTGAATATGGGGTATGGTTTATAAATAACTTCCAAGAGGCTAAAAGCAGAGTGTTTTTCTGAAATAGGTTTAACAGCCTTTTGCTATCTGGTATGTACTATTGATTTGTAAATCTGTTGTTCGTATGCAACAACCAGAGACAAATTTCAGACCAACCTCTGCTCATTCAAAGTTTTTAAAAATGTTAGCCTTAATTAATGAGATTCAAGTGGAATTACGTGGGAACACACTGGTGAACCATATGCCTTACAACAATCAGTTATGACCTAAGAGAATACAATGGATAGGTTTAAAATAAATATACAAACTTCCTTTCTGTTCCCTTATATCCAGCCACCATTGAAAATTCAATTTAGAGAAAGACTTTCCTTTATGTATTATCCACAGCTCTCCCCTGAGCTTCAGACAAGTATATCCTGTTTACCTATTCAGTACACCTACTTGGATGTCTAAGGAACTCTCACATCACGTCCAAAACTAAGCTTGCCTTCCACTCCAACCATTTCTCACCTCTCCCAGCACTGCCACCCAGGTCATGTGGTTGTTAGTTGCCATGGAGTCTGTTTCAACTCATGGTGACCCCATGTGTGCAGAGTAGAACTGCTCCATAGGCTTTTCAAAGCTGTGACCTTTCCGAAGCTGATCACCAGGCCTGTCTTCCGAGGCACCTTTGGGTGGGTTTGAGCTACCAACCTTTTGACTGGTAGTGAAGTGCTTAACCATTTCTGCCACCCAGGTCGTAACCATCATCATTTCTCACATTAGACTCTAGCCTAGTCTCCCTCCTTTGACCCTAACCCCTTTCAGTATATTCTCATCAGAGTTGCCAGAGTGATAAATCAGAGCATGTCCACCCTCTTCTCAGAACCCTCCAGCAGCTGGCCTCCCAACTCAGAGTAGACACGAGGGTCCCTATAGTCACTCATAAGGCCCTATGTGAATGATCTCTGGTAAACTCTCCAACATCGTGGTCTACTACTCTCCCACGGACTTGTTCCTCACCACCAAGCTAGCACCTCCGTGTTCTTGGCACCTACCTGGCACCATGGCTCTGCAGGACCTTTGCACTCATTAGTCCTGCTTCCTTCCAAAGATTTTCACCCAGATATCTGCGTAGCTTTTGCAGATATCACCTCTGACTAAGAATGTACCCCTCTCTAGAATTGCATATGCTCTTCTAACACTCCTATCACTTCCCTGCTGTATTTTTTTGCCTTTGTTGTTAGGTGCTGCAAGTCAGTTCTGACTCATAGCTACCCTGTGTACAACAGAACGAAACACCGCCTGATCCTATGCCATCCTCGCAATCAATGTTATGCTTGAGCCAATTGTTGCAGCCACTGTGTCAGTCCATCTCATTTGAGGGTCTTCCTCTTAGATTTATAATTCCTTAGATTTATAATTATCCAACATGGTAAATATTTTTATTTATCATTGGTTATATTTTATGACTCACTCACTGGAATATAAGCTTTGTGAGGGCATGGATGTTTATTTTCTTTTGTTCACATCTTTATAACGAGCATCTAGGAAAGTGCCCAGAACATAATAGTGCTCAAAAGGTATTGAATGAACACACAGACCATAGGAAGAAAGACCCTTATATGATCATGGTCTACATTTAAAGATATTTAAAATGGTAGAGCTAGGTTTTTTAAAAAGGAAAAAATATACAGGTAAGTTTGGATAAAACCAATGTAACTTTTTGCAACTTACCTGGAGTATTTGCTAGCCTGATCATTTATGAAAATAAAGAGCAAGGATGGCCATAGCAAAGATGTATTTGGAAAAATACAGGAGCTGAGAATGATCCACTGGAAAAAAGTAAATTTACTGTGAATCA